ACGAACGTAACGAACGAACGAACGTAACGTAACGTAACGTAACGTAACGTAACGTACTAACGTTAACTTAACTAACTAACTAACCTACCTACCTACCCTACCCTCCCTCCTCCTCTCTCTCTCTCTCTCTCTCTCTCTCTCTCTCTCTCTCTCTCTCTCTCTCCCTGCTGATTAAAAATCCATATAACCCCCTCCTCTCTCTCTCTCACAAAGAGCCAAAACAAAAAGAAGCACCGCACGTGCCACCCTCCTTTTCTCACTTAAACTGAAGAGCAAAAGGAACAAAACAAGGAAACCCAATGTCTCTCCCATATGGTACAACTCAAGTCCAAAAAGTCCAATCACAATAAAAACCTAAGCAAAACAAGATCTCTCCCAAAAAAGGCTCAAAACCTATTCACCATCAAAATCATTTTAGCGATGGTTTTAATCCAATCTTCATAACGCTGACTACCTTTTGAACATTTGACAGGGAAAGCAACACTGCTTTTTCTCAATGTGCACCGTCGAAGCCATGGACACAAGATCAATAATGGTTCTTTGTCCAACATGTTGCACCAAAATACAACAACAAAGCCCAGAAAAATAGTTGATAATCCCAATCACTGTTCCTTTCAGGACTTGACTTGCTCCATGGCCACACACAATAGACATCCAGATGACACTTATTATATTCAAGGATTGACTTTTGATTTTCCAAGGTTTTTTCTCCCTGCTTTGGCCTCTTGGAATTAGTGTTAATGGCTAGGGCTAAACTGGTCATATTTTCTTATTTGGTTTAGATTTCCTAGAAGAAATTATGTTCCATGTCTTGGGTCGATAATCCATGAGGATTATGTCCCATGTCTTGGGTCAATAATCCATGAGAATGGAGAGATTGAGAAAGATGTCACGCATAGAATTAGAACTAGGTGGACAAAATAGAGATGTGCATCAGGAGCCTTATGTGATTGTCGCACACCAATGAAACTGAATGAGAAGTTCTATAGGACAGCCATAAGACCAGTCATGTTTTACAAAATGAATGTTGGGCGGTCAAGAACAACATATTCATAGGATGAGTGCAACTGAGATGAGGATGAATGACAAGACAAGAAATGATAGAATTCAGAATGAATATATCAGAAGGAACTTAAGGGTGGCTCCAATAGGCGATAAGATGAGGGAAAGTAGACTTCGATGATCTGCCCATATGCAGCGGTGACATAAAATAGCACTAGATAGGAGGGGCGATTTGGTTCAAGTGGAAGGCTCTAAAAAGGTATGGGAAAGGCTAACAAAAAGATAGATGGAAGTAGTGAGAAGATATATGATGACTTATTGTCTGACTGAAACTATGGCCATCGATAGAGCAGAATAGTGGAATAGGATTCGTGTAGCCATCCGCAAATAGTTGGGAGAAAGCTCAATAATGATGATGGTTTAGATTTCCTAATTTCATCGTTGTTGCATATTTATCAACATAAGTTCGTGTCTTCTACACATCTAAAGCATCTAGTAGTACAGAAAAACGTATCCATACAAGCACTATTTAGAAAAACATAGAAATGGCTTTCTATATATATTACAATAAGTAATACATAATTTCTTTGATAGCTACACAAATACTAGGCTGCGGAGTAGTAGTTACGTCACTCTCATGCAATAGATCCCTAGTTCGAACTCCTTTCAAAGCCTTTCACAGCATGTTTTGTTTGTTTTGTTCATTTATTACGTTTAAGACTCCTTTATAAAACAATTTCTTCATTTCATATACCTAACATTATGTGGTGGAGTGGAAGATTCTACCATTCATGTGCATTAGGCCCAAGTTCGAACTCTCTGAGAGACATCCTTATTTTGTCCTTTATCTATGGCCTTAGGCAGAGAAAACGCAGGTGGTACTAGTGGTGATTTAGGCTGAGCTTTTGGTTTGGCTCTTTGGGCTTCGAGAGAGAAAAGTTGTATGTGCTTTTCATGGTAGAGAAAATTTTGAGAAGTTAATAAAATTTTATCATGCTCTTCTCCATTGACTGATTTTCATTTGGCTATTTGCTTTCTTCTTCAACATCCAGGTGTCATGCCAAATCTATCTTACCAAATTGGAAGGTTACTTGATAGATAAAGAAAACAGCTATTGGGTTTTCTGACATGGAATCAAAGCAAAATTTCCTAACCACCCTCACTGCGTTGGCAGGATTCAAACACAAGGGGTTAAATTCCTAACATCCCACCATTAAGACTAAACTACCTTGGGACAAACCAGAAAATAAATTCTCTATTAAATAACTAAACAGATATGCCATTGCAGAAAGCAAACTACCTAACACAAATCAGAAACCAACTTTTTTTTTTTGGGTGGATAGAAACCAACTTTTTTATAAACAAAATAACTGAAGAAACATCTACCAAGCCGCATCAGAGCTCTGATTACCTCCAGTTATGCTTAAAAGAGCTTAAAATACTCCCCTTGGTATGGTATGGAACAACTTACGAAAAGCTAGACCAGCCAGATTACCAAATAACTAAACCTAATATTGAATTGAACGTAAAATAGAAATCATACTTCTAACAAATTCACTTCAACTTGACTTTTATGAACTCCCATTTCCAACTGTTCTCAAAGCTGTTGGAAGTCTTGATCTTCTGGGCTTCAAATTCTTGGATCTCAATCTCTCGAAATCACTAACGTTTTCACAGCAACTTGTGTATTCCAGAAACTTTGCTTATCACATAGCATGCCTTAGGTGACAAATCTTGCTACACTCTGCAGTACACAAATATTCTGGCCTTTGTTGTGTTATCTTTCAAACTCAGGACTTAGCACTCAACCGATTCTAATTTGAAATTGTGCTATGCTGAATATTGATTAGAATCCCCACCATGAGCATGAACACTTGAAGTAGCGCATATACTGAGTAGCAGCCTTCATGGGGTCCATCGAAATTTCTGCTCTTTTTCAGATCTGTCTATGTAATATCTTTATCAAGCATGAATCTTTCTGGGTGTCGCCCTCAACTTTAGGCAAGTCAATATTCTGCACCAAGCATCCAAACACTAACACATTATTGGCCCACTCCATGCTCAACCTAGACCTTCAACCTTCCACATGCATCAACACACAACCACAGTGATACCGAACATAATCAAATGATTCCCTCCCTGAATCATAGTTCCCAAAAAACCAGTAAAACAAGAACACATGACTTACCAAGAACTAAGACTTAAGGCTATTGGACTCACCATGTTTCTATTGCACATCTCAAACACCAACCAAGACAAACTCCGATAATGGCTGGCTAAGAAAACCACAATATTTCCGGAAAGAAATAAAGATAGGTCCCACTCTTTCACGCCATATCACCAAACAACATCAACAAGCGATCCTTAAGGCAACACAATCGATTAAACAGAAACAACTTCCACAAAACCAATCTTAATCCATACCATATAACTCAGAAACAAAGTAAAACTGAACATCGAATCTTCAAAAAATAATTGTTCTTCAATGACCTTAATCTGGCTTATCGTTTCTAGTTTTGGTACCATGTTACCAACATGCAGCGGAAGCAAACAAACCTAGCTCAAATCATAAACTATTGCCCTAGTAATTAATTAACCAGAAAACAATAATGGGAGTTGCTACGGCATCTATGAAACTGTAGCAGATCTCTGGTTCTCTCCCATGGTGCTCAAAATAGCCAAAAATAGCCTCCCTAGGTATGGTATAGGACCTCCCTTAAGTTGAAGAAAGAAACCTCAAAACAAGGAGAAACTTTCCTCTTATTATAAATGCAGGATTACAATACTTATGTATAGGCATCGGAAGGGACTTTCCTATCTCCTTTAAGTTCTATCTCCTAAACCTATCCCAATCACATATGAACTTCCTAGCTTACCAAAATGTAGACCACCTAGATTACCAAATAACCAAATCTATCCTACTAGATAAGTTTTCCAATAAAAATCAAATCTGCCACATAAATCAAGTTAAATTTCCAACATAAAAATGGGTAGCTATTAAGAAAAATTTGGTAAATGATCTACAGAGAGTTGAGTGTAAGAGTGCCACGAGTAAACACATCAGCACAATTGAAATTTGATATCTGAGAGGATCATACTCAGATATCTAAATCATGCACCATGCTTTTCCACTAAGGCTGGAGCTCTGTTTTACATTTTCTCCTTATTGTTTTGAGTAGGATAAAAGCAAAGTTGTTTTAATCCTTTCTGTTACATCCGTTATAAGTAACCATGTCAATGTTAGTGATAAAACCCCGTGTATGCACCCAAATGAAAGCATAGACTTACTTGTAGAACCACTTGTACTGTGTGGGATTCATCTCGTAAAGTTGATTGAGCACAGTCCTCACTGCCTTGTATGTAAAATAGTTGAGTATTTGCTGAAAGAAGAGAAGGTAGGAAGTCAGAATCTAAAAAGTTGATCTATTGCATAACTAAGCTTTCTAAGGAACAGCATTCCTTAGAAGGTTTCCAGTTGAAACTTTCTCTGAATCTTCTTTTCTTTTTGACCTTGTGTTTATTAAGTGCAGAGAAACTGTCCTAAAGTTATCCATCCAGATTATCAATGGTATTAGCACATGCTATAAGATAATAAGATAACAAGATTTTAGGAAAACAGCAAGTAAACGAATTTGCATCAAATATATATAATCACATCAAAGAAAATCTGCAGTTAAGTGTGTTCTCAAGATCAAGCAATGGTTTTCACTGTTACATTGGCAGAATGAACAATGTTTCTTTTTATACAAATGGATATCTGCACAAGAAAGGAAGCAATCAGGTAGGTTCCAAACACAATCCCAACTATAGTGTCCAGAAGGTATTTGTTTTGGTGATCCCCTAGGGAAAATATGAACTGAAATTGAAGGCAACTAGTTTCGAGTTTCAAATAGTTCTTGGCCAGTCAATACAGTAGGGAATATGGGGTTAGTAGCTCTACGAAAGCATACAATATCAGTTAGTCAAGACAGTTATAGAAGGCGAGGCAAAAAGACATCTCAATAACTGAGGCATGATAAAAAGTGGAAAATCCTATTGAATTGGGAAAGCATACTTGGCTAGTAGGGTTGCAAGGTGTGGACAATGAATTAGGACAAGTTCACAGCAATTGTAAAACTCGGTACTTGCCCTTAGCAAGATCTAGGAAGTAGCTTTCCACAAAAAGACACACCCAAAGCCAAACAATTAAGCAAAGCAATATATCCTCTTTCCTAAGAGTACTTATAATCCGGATTCCCCTTCTAGCGCAACAACCAGCAAGATTTTCTTTTCCAAAAATGACAATCAATTATAACAAGTGTCCTAACACTGGGTATCTCATAATAATTTTGTAACTTGTTAAGACTTTTCCAGGGAGCATTGAACATTCATTCATGTGTGATGTCCAAAAACAAAGTTAAAATTAATTAATGCCCAAAATCATAGAAAGAATCTAAAGAATATCCAAAATAAGAGGCTATCCTAGACAAGTTCTCAACCCTTCAGCAGAACAGGCATGTGAGGTAGGTTCCTCGACCATATGATAAAATATTGCAGGATACATCCTAAAGGCCAACACATATTACACTGTTTCAAATGATTAAAATTTAGCAGTTCAAATGATAAAGCAGATATGGATTGTTAAAGGTTCCAAAGTATGGCAAGGACTCCAAGTCTAAGTTGAAATTACTGATCCATGCAAAATAAAGGGATACTTCAGCCATAAGTAAATTTCGTCCATTTCCAGGATCAAGCCATATGAGATTTGGCGACAACAAAAAAAAGGCACAGAGAGAGAGAGAGGAAAATTGTCAATAAATAATTGCTTGTATCACCAACAATAATCAAACAAAAGCCACCAGTTCCGAATAAAAAGGTAACTTAGCTTGTTTCTAATCAAGTCACATAAGATTCACAAAAGATCATAACAACCGAAAGACAAAAAAAAGAAAAAGAAAGATTTCTTCATTTTCATCCAAACAAACCAAACTACTATAGATACAATCAATTCCTATTGATTATGATAATTTGGAGTGAGAATTGATAAGATGGATGGACTTTTACCTTCTTCACATCGTCGAAATTGTCTTCATACTGGCCTCCTAACTCATCAACAATCAACGGGAACTGGGTTCTTCTCTGCTTTCGAGAATGGCCCCGAACTAGCCCTGAAAGGAACTTGGCATTAAGACGCCACTCTTGCCATGCATCAGTAAAAGAGCTGCTAAGTTCCAATCCTTGCCTCTTGTTAAGCTTCTTCCCCAACAAATTCACCCCATTAATCCCTAATTCCAAAGAACCCCTACTATAGCCTCCACTAACACATGGGCAAATATGCGAATCCAAAGCTGTAGAACCCAGAATTGGTAGCGCCCCAACCATCCTATACACCAAAAAGGGACCCCCAAAAAACCCTAATTCTTCTGAAAATCCCCCAAAACTACAAATAAAGAAAGAAAATAAAGATTACTTGGAAAGAAAAAGAAAAACAATAAGGGGGTTGGATGGTTATTGAATACTGGGTAATCAGATTCAGAGGGGAGGGGGGGGAGAATTGAGAGAAAAATGTGAATTGTGATTTTTATTTGTTTAATGGGGAGGTCTGAAGAAGATGAATTCTAGGGTTTTTTTACTCACTGTTTCTAGGGTTTTGGTTTCTCCAGTATTGCTAGGCTTTCTTCTTCATTTGATGAATACAATTATCAGAGGGTTTTTTTTTGAGGCTTACATTTCTTTGCAGCCTCCACTTCCACCCTTTTGATTTTCAACGGTCCAATTTTTTTGCGGGGAATTTTTTGATGCCACGTTGCCGTCCGACACGGCACGTGCTCCAAGGATCTTGATCTTTTTGCCGCACGTGTTATTCATGGAAGCCCGAAGAAATATGGGGATTTCAAAGTGCCGCCATACAGTAGCAAGAGGCAAACAATCAGTTGACGCCACTTACGTCACCGTTGTTCACGACTATCTAATGCAAAATTTGGTAGCTGGGCTATGTCATAAAGTTTAAACAAAAAAATTTTAAAGTTTGAGCTAAATCAATAGGATAAATCTAACCATCCAATTTCACATCCAAATGTCAAGATTAATGGGCTCATTGCATACTTTTCCATTATTTATAGAAATATTTTGGAAAAGTATAAGAGAGCATTGAATTTTTATAAGAGAGCATTGAATTTTTCAAAAGAAAAAGTTTATACAAGGGTGAGGCTCTAAACAATCAAAGCACCTAAAAAAGTCACTCAAAGAGGTTGTTTCGATGCCCAGGTACCCTCAAAACGATCATCTCAACCTCAAGATGTATAGACATAAAAAAAAAGGATTTCACATCTTGAAAATAATTGATCTTATAATGTATTTTTTGGACCACCAATTTTCAAGATCTAGTGTTCATAAATAAATCAGCTCGATCTAAGCTTTAAATTTTATAATTAGAGTTGAAAATAAATTTTAGAGAAATTTACGTAGAAATCTGTTATAGTTTACGTTATTATGGTTATACCAAATAGTTTCTGTTATTTATTATAGAAGTGTCTGTTTTTTATCTTCCATAACGCGATTTTTTAAAAAGACAAGTTTGCCCTTTTTCGGATGTTCAACATCTGAATTTCTAGGATTTTCGGATGTTTAACATCCGAAATTAGCCGCAACTGAAACAATGTTTTTTCCTATTTTCGGATGTTCAACATCCAAATTTTAACTTCGGCCAGTCTGTTTTCTACGTATTTCAACATTGGTTTAGTGTTCTTGATCTGTGAGTTCTTTTGTTTGCCTATTTGATATCTCATTAGTAAATATTAGTAAATAGTTCATAGATTTTGATTTTCAACCGTGTACGTCTTTGACAGACAGTATTTCTTGGATTTTTAAGCCATTTCACAGAGTGAAGGTATGTGGGTCGATTTTTTATATTTAGATTGCCTCCTAATTTTTTGTTAGGGTTTATACTCAAGCATTGTATTTATTTCTTGTGAATTTAGTATAGACTGAATTAATTTGTGGCTCCATTGTGATTGAATTAGATTTTTAGAATTTGTGGGTTTTGAGAACTTGAAATTTTGTGGTCACTATAGAACTGTAAATATTTTTTAAATTTGGGGGTTTATACTCTTAATAGCACAAAATAATTGGGTCTATGCTTATTGGGTGTGTTTCTTGCAGATTGTGGTTTTGCTCATGTTTTCTGTTATAATTTGGGGGTTTTGCTCCTGTTTATAAGTAGCATGATAGGTGACCATATCATTGGATTTAATCTGTTTCTTGTATTATAAGTAGCATTGTTTTCTGTTATTGCTTGAAATTGTTGCTTGAAATTAAATTGAATTTTTCCTTTTTTGATGGAGTCATTTGTCTATCTGTAAATCGAATTATTCAGTTTTTTATTGAATTGTTTGGTTTTTTTAATGGTTTGGTTACTGAGCTAACATGAATTCTTTGTTTTTGATGAGATGATTTAGTTGCTTATGAAAATTGGATTCTTGTCTTTACAATGAAATGATTAATTGCTTATCAATGTCAAATTCTGTTGAAATGATTTAGTTACTCATTAAAGTTGAATTCTTTAGCTTTTAGACGATGATGATTATTGGGAATGGGACTACAATGTTTTTATATGTTTATCCATCTAGGGTTTGGTTATTGTTTAGCTGAGTTCCATTGAATTAGACTCAGTGTAGTGTTTCATGTGGTTTTGAATTTGTTACTGATAAAAGAAGTAGATGAGGATTGTGCATTTCTGGTTAATTACGGGGTCTGTGTACTAGTTCTTCAAGTAGAGATATTAAATTGGATTTAAGAACTGGATAGAGGACTGCTTTTTCGCTTTAGCTAATTACGGATGTTGTTTAGTGGTTTTTTAAGAACTCTTTGAATTCTTCTTAGTTACCTAGTTTACTCAAAGAATCAATTCATTTTTTGGCAGCCATGTTCATTGATTGATTTCGATTTTCAAGTATATGATCCTGAGTTGGACTTGCATAGCAGTTTCATTTTAGCATTGTTCTTCTTTCATCAATGGATTGTAGCATTGTTCTTCTTCATCAATAGGGATGTTATTATTATTTTTTTGTTATCTTGTTAAGTTTTACATATGTAACCTTATGATTAACATGGTGACCCTAGTTTTGTTATCTGATGGAGGATATCCAGGAGGCCCTCAGGACCCTAGTTTGTTGCAACTTCATCCACATGCGTCATATTTCATATGGGAAGGCATGTATATGCATATATTCATCTGCCCATTCTATTAATTTGTTATTTTGTAATAAATTGTAGTCAGGTTCAAACATCCTATGAGAAGTACATGTATATATATTGGGACTAATATGTTGTCTATTTGTTGTATTTCAAGAGAAACAAGAAATTAGAATTGATGAAAAGACTTATCAATTAAATGAATGGCATCTAACAGAAGAGCAAGTTCAATTAGTAAACGCGCCTGGGTTGGGTGCGCTATCTATCATTTGGTCAGGCCGAATTGATCATCTTTTGGTCGCAGCCAATGTAGAGAAGTGGCATTCTGAGACCAATACATTCCATTACAATATCCATTGGTGAGATGATACCAACGTTTTTTATGCATATGAGATATTAGGACTAACTGTCGATGGCGAGCCAGTTACTTGTCTTCCTATCAATGACTTGCGACAGTATATATATATATATAAGGTAATTTGGGTATAGTTCCTGATGGCAACATGACAAGCCTGAGGCATACATGGTTGAAGGTAAATTTTAGGGAATTGCCATCTAATGCAACCCTTTTTCAATTTTATAGATATACTAGAGCATATATGCTCTTCCTCGTCAGTATCACCATATTCGCTGAAGCATCAGTTTCAACAACGCCAACAAGGTACTTCTAGTTTTTTGAAGATATTGAGGGAGCCAGCAGATATGCTTGGGATGTTGCTATCCTTGCATTCCTCTATCGCTCACTTGGAAGAACACTTTCAAGCGAAGACATTTTAGTGGTTCAGCCACTCTCATGTAAGTCACCTTTTTTTTTTGTATTTGACATAAGCGTATCAGTTTAGACTGTTTTCTTAAAATATTTAATATTATCATACGTTAATTTATTACAGTGCTGGTCATATAAGCATATTATGCATATGAGGCCCATATCGCATAGTATCTCTCCAAATATGCCTAGGGCCAAAAGATGGGAGCCATCGAAAAAATATCATGCAATCCACATAACCTAATGCCTCCCATCAGACAAGAATTTCATAACCTCCACCCTAATGAGCTTAGTGCATAATTTGATATTAATTACTTTCAAATGTATTTAAGTATTTGTAATTATTTTTATTGATTGATTGCATATCATATAAGAGGTAATATGGAATCATTATTTCAAGTCTGATGAGGTCATTTCATATGATAGGCAACAGGCATATGAAACTGCAATGTGTATAACAACGCTCATATTTGACAATATTGCCGTGCCGTACATGCCAGATCGAGTACACCGACAATTTGGAACTAAACAGGGCATTCCTAAAAATCCCTTGGTTGTTGGTAAGAGGGTTAGCAGATAAGGTGGACAACAAGATTGACGAACTATGAATGCAGACAAAATCCAACACTGGGAAACTCGTCATGACTGCATAATGTTGCTAACCCACCCTCAGAGGAGTATAATGCCTAGTACAACCTAGTGTCTCATCTTCTAGTACATAATGTTGCTAACTCACCCAAAGACATATTGCAACCTCATAACCAAGACGAAGAAGATGTGGTTCATGCTCATGAACCATAGTATATAATGAGACCTCGAGGTTATGAGGACTAGTTGATATAATTATATTAACCTACAAATTCTTATAGTTTTGTACTTACCTATTAGTTCCATGAAATTGTTTAAACATATTGATTAGGTAATCTTGTTTGTGCAGGTTAGTGCAGTTCAGGCATCTACAATCATATTAGTAGAGGCCCTGAACTGCAATCATGTTAGAAGAGGTACTTACACTTAGACATAAGTGGAATCCTAAAGTGTATAATCGCGTTAACAACGTGTTTGAAACATTGTCTAAGTTTGGGCCTTTGGATATAGATGACATAGAGGCCAGGATGGAAAATTTACAACGTGAATATCATGACATATGTGTACCTGACGAGGCCGAACATGATGGAGTGGGTGAAAGTAGTCGGGTTGTAAAAGACCTAGCTCCATCCACACAACCAACAGTTGATGAACGCAGAAGATATAACACACTAAAGAAACAGTATCAGCTTAAAAGAAGGCGACCAATGTAGTGCTTGACCCTTGTAATTTTGTTCATTTGTTCATTTTGAATGTATTGGAACAGTTAATTTGTTCATTTTGAGCGATGTAATGTATTGGTCATTTTGACCGACCCAATTTGTTCAATGAATTTTGTTAAGTACAATTTGGTTAAGTCTTTCTACTTTCTTACTTGCGAAGTTCAAATGATATTATATGAGGTGTCGATGTTGTAATAATGTTTAAAGATAGAAATAGTAACAATGTTTAACGTACCGAAGTTGTAAAATATGAATTAGTGGCTATTGGTTAAGTCACTACTTTGCATATTGGTTCAAAATTAATAGTCATCCTAGTGATGGTCCTCCCTAGTTCTCACTAAAATTTGCTGCTAAATTAATCTCTCTGCTACTTGCTTGAGTCTAGAGTCGATCATTTAAAAAGGTATGTTTAAGTGACCAGTGAGACCAAACTGAGACCAACTGATACTTCACATGTATTAGTGACCAG